GAGTTTACTGAACCTATTTGAAGCAGTTTCTTTTATAGTAAAAGTCAGTTATCTGTCTGATACAACTTGTTATCTGCAGCTGCTCTTGAGGATGATGACTYTTACCTRGTAARTGATTACCGGGTTATAARCGCTTACCATCAATAGATTTTGATGGTTATGAATATTACTCCATAAGGTAAGTGGGAGTGGTGATTCTTATAGGTAAACGCTTACCTYGTAAGTATTTAAAYGACCCCTTAGTATTATAATAGTAATACTAAGGCCGAAAACATAAAATGTCAATCATGTTTTATTTTTATCTCTTTTTTGTCCAATCCGATGCTAGTTGTATACTCATACAATGTAACAACCCACCATGCAAATAATGGTACAAATTCACAAAATCTGATCATACATTACCAATTTATTCATAGTAAAATCATAATACATTCCCAAGTATGTTTACATGGCAAGAGAAAGTATGGATTAACAAAAACCTTATCAATTATAACACTTTCTTCTTAATAACAGTTCTTTACATTTTTCCCTTGTCTTTATCTTGAGATGGTGGATCGCATGCAAAACAGATTAGCACAATAATTGTGCGTCAGACCAAAAGGCCTAGTCAGTAAATTTTCCTCATACAAAACATAACTTATTTCAAAATCCAAGACATATCAAACCTAGATCTTAATATAACATTTCATCATTCCTCTATCACGGTTACATCATCATTTCCTCTATTGCGGTTACATCGTCATTTCCTCTATCGTGGTTACACCACCATTTTCATCTATACTTYTTGAAGAGATTACTGTGAAATTCATATTCCTGTCCGGACAATACTATGTCCGGAGAGGAGGTTTCCGGACGACTTGAACATAGCTGGACAATACTATGTCCGGTGAAAGATTATACGGTCATGTCTGGACATTGCCTTGTCTGGTGCTGKTTCCTRTCCGAACAACTCTTTAACCGGAGAAGAGTTATGTCCGGACACTGCTTTGTCCGGTGAAGGTACACATTCGGARAACGCTTTGGCMGGTGAGACACAATCCAGACACTTGCTTAATCGGTAAAGGGTCTCATCCGGACACTGCTTTGTCCGATAAGAGGTCTCATCCGAACACTGCCTTGTCCGGTGAGTTCTGTTCTTGAAGATTAAAC